AGGGATCAGAAAACCCACAGAATGGGACAAAATCTTTACCAGCGACACATCCGACAAAGGTTTAATATCCAGAATATATAACGAATTCAAAAAACAGAGAATCTAGACAAGAAGCAATCCATTTAAAAGATGGGCTAAGGAGCTGAACAGAGAGTTCTCAAAAGAAGAAGTAAAGATGGCTATGAAACATCTTAAAAGATGTTCAACATCACTAATAATCAGGGAAATGCAAATTAAAACCACTTTAAGATTTCATCTTACCCCAGACTGGCTAAGATCAAGAGAACAAATGATACCAAATGTTGGAGAGGATGTGGGGAAAGGGGAACACTCATCCACTGCTGGTGGGGCTGCAAACTGGTTCAACCCCTATGGAAAGCAGTAGAGAACTCTTAAAAAACAAATGAACCTACCATTTGACCCAGTTATACCACTCCTTGGCATATACCCAAATAGTTGTAATTAACAAACCACACAGATAAATACATGATTACAAGTAGTTGTGGGGTTAGGTGCTGTTAAGAGTGTTTAGTGAAAAGAGCCAATTTTGATGGGATGGGAAGGCTACTCCAGTTTGACATGAGCTAGGGACTGGAAATATTTTGGAATTATTCCTTCACTAATTCACTTCAAGTACATAAATATTTATCATCCTAATAATTACAATATTTGAGATGCAGCACTGAATTAGATAAAGACCCTGCTTTCCTGCTACACTGTAGTCTACTGTCTATTAGTGGAAGACAGTCCTGCTTGCCCAATATTTCTATAGTTTACTGTCTATCAGAGAGACACGGCATGACAAGAGGCATGCTAAATCTGCAAATTGTTTAATTTATTAGAAGTGGAGGGGATACGGGGTAGTGTTCAATGTGAAATATATATTTATGAAAATGTGAAAAAAGATGAGATAAAACAAAAAGAAAGCAGGTTCAGGGGAAGAAGGAATAAAGGGTGGGGATTAGAACGCTGAATGGTTGCTAGAGGATGGCAAGGACGTGGTTAAGCAATGATGAACGAGGGAGCAAGCACAAAGACAGTAAGAGCAATTGAGATGTTGTTCCTTTCTAAACAAGGGAACTTTGTTCTTGGACATGGCTAAGGTGTTGGGAAACAGTTTGATGATTTAGTTTTTTAATTGTTATTTTGGGAGGATTTTAGAATTCGTGGAGTTTATCTAGGGTTTGTCTAGAGCAGGAAAGCAGCCCTCCTATGCCCCGAATCTACTGGGGCCTCAATTTTGACTTCTCCACCTACAGAAGCATGTTAGCAATTTCAGGGTTTTACAATTACCAAAACTAAGGCATTTTGTGAAGATCAGGAAGGGAACAAGATCACTGGGTATGGCTCCATAACACACCTAGGACAAGGCTGATTTTCTGTCTACAGAGTTATAGTTGACGGGTTTTTTTTTTTTCCGTGATCATTTTGAACATATCAACCCACTCTCTCATGAGAACCTGGGTTCTAGATGAGAAGTCTCATGGATGTTTAATGGAGATCATCATGTCATGAATGGCACTTTCTTCCTTTCGGACCCAAAACGTAAGTCACTTTGTCACAGCATCTCAATGTTTTAACGGATCACCATCTATTTCCTCATCAACTACAGCTCAATAGATGGGAATCAAATATGTTCAGTGTGGACATGACAAGTTCTATAAACCAAAAAGCTCGGTTTAAAAGTTTGGGGCATGATTGAAAAGTGGATCACCGAATTCATCCACTAAGGTGTAAATGTCAGTGTCATAACCCACTGACGGATGGTGTTCTTGAGCCTGTAGTTCTTTTTACTCTTCTATTGCTATGAAAGTGCAAATGTTCAGTGATATGATTTGGATCTCAGTGCCCAGATCAATCATGTGTTTGAATCTAGGTCCCCAGCAGGTGGTACTGTTGTAGAATTCTGTGGACCCTTGGGAAGTGAGGTTAGCAGGAAGAAGTGGGTCACAGGGGGACAAGGGGTACTGCCCACTCAGTCCAACCAGCCTGCTCAAGTTTCTACTGAGCCAGTCATCAGCCTCTCCCTCCACTGCCTTCCCTGTTCTTATGAACAGGAAGTGAGGAAAACCTTCTACCCAGCCCTGATTGGTCCATTCTTGCTCTGACCTCACAATGAGCCACCGTGAGGACGCAGAGTCAGTTGCCCACTGTCAGTTGCACTGCGGAGGCAGGTCTCTGTCCTTACAGTGAGGAAACTCTCTGCTGGTGGGAGAGTCGTTGGATCTTCGCACCGGGAGCTATTAAGTCAGATTTCGTGAACTCTTGGTCCTCCACGTAGTGAGTTTCTTTCCCAGGTTGCTCGTTCTGGTTTTGTGGACTTCGGTTTGCTGGTTCTGGTTTTGTGGATTTCCTGTGTATTATTTATTGTAGGTTTGGGGTACGATGAGTGCTTCTATTCATTTTTACAACTGAAATTTTTATTTTATGTGCATAATTGTTATTTCCTTCACACATAAAAGCTGTAGACATGCATTCAATGCCTGCAGAAGTCAGAAGAGGGAGTCATATCCCTGGAACCAGAGCTTTGGATGGTTATCAGCCACTTTGTATGTTTTGGGACTGAACTCAGGTCTGTGGAAAGAGGAGACAGTGCTCTTAAAAATGGCCGAGCCACCTCTCCAGCCCCTTATTTTTTTTTAATAATTAAGTGCCTGTTTAAACTCTTTATTTCTGCTGCTGCTTCTGTTATTATAGACATTCCTTAGCATATTCTCACTATACAATATAAAACCTCATGGTGAAACTTACATACATATGGCTGTATCTTGGCATCTCTTCCTATGTCCCTAACCACCTCATTTTTTGAGTCCGCCCTTTCCATACATAGGCCATATCATGTGGAGTGTAGATGTTCTTGAGCCTGTAGTTCTTTTTACTCTTCTATTACCATGAAAGTGCAAATGTTCATTGATATGATTTGGATCTCAGTGCCCAGAAGATCGTATGTTTGAATCGAGGTCCCCAGCAGGTGGTACTCTTGTAGAATTCTGTGGACCCTTGGGCAGTGAGGTTAGCAGGAAGAAGTGGGTCACAGGGGGACAAGGGGTACTGCCCACTCACTCCAACTGGCCTGCCCAAGTTTCTACTGAGCCGGTGATCAGCCTCTCCCTCCACTATGCCTTCCCTGTCCTTATGAACAGGAAGTGAGGAAAACCCTGTACTGAGCCCTGATTGGTCCATTCTTGCTCTGACCTCACAATGAGCCACCGTGAGGATGCAGAGTCAGTTGCCCACAGTCAGTTGCACTGTGGAGACAGGTCTCTGTCCTCACAGTGAGGAAACTCTCTGCTGGTGGGAGAGCTGTTGGATCTTCGCACCAGGAGCTGTTAATTCGGATTTTGTGAACTGTTGGTCCTCCAAGTAGTGAGTTTCCTTCCCAGTTTGCTGGTTCTGGTTTTGTGGATTTCCTGTGTATTATTTATTGTAGGTTTTGGGTATGATGAGTGCTTCTATTCGTTTTTACAACTGAAAATTTAATTTTATGTGCATAATTGTTATTTTCTGCACACATGTAAGCTGTAGACATGCACGCAATGCCTGCAGAGGTCAGAAGAGGGAGTCATATCCCTGGAACCAGAGCTTTGGATGGTTATCAGCCACTTTGTATGTTTTGGGACTGAACCCAGGTCCTCCGCAAGAGCAGCCGGTGCTCTTAAAAATGGCCGAGCCACCTCTCCAGCCCCTTATTGTACTTTATTTTATTTTTTTAGGTAATTAAGTGCCTGTTTAAACTCTTTATTTCTGTTGCTTCTTCTGTTATTATAGACATTTCTTAGGGTATCCTCACTATACAATATAAAACCTCATGGTGAAACTTACATACATATGGCTGTATCTTGGCATCTCTTCCTATGTCCCTAACCACCCCATTTTTTGAGTTCACCCTCTTTCCATACATAGGCCATATCGTGTAGTCAACTGTTCTGAAGACTAAGAAACCATTTGGGGTTATCTCTTAAGGAAGGGGACTGGTGTGTCTATTTGTGAGTTAGGCCTCCACAAACCCTGCTATCTTCACCTTCTGTCTGTCTGCAAATGGCCTTTTACGTCCTATTTTCTGGGGCAATTATGAAGCTCTCCCGTTCTATTCTTTCAAGTTAGTGAGTCCTCAGGGGCACAGCAGGTGGGGTTGACAATGTATTGAAGCAAAGGATCAAACCTGTGCCCTCAGCTCAGCTGGCTGAACAGGTCACAGAACATGCCAAGGAACAAATCTAGCCAAGTACTGGAATCATCCACCCAGGGCTCCATAGACACTGAGATCTCTCCCTGAGGAATACGGGGATAAATTTTATTCACAAGGACAGTAAATACCCAAATTTCCCAAGCATAGACTTCAAAGACTTCAATAAATCTCCTCTAACAACCTTAGTCTTGTGGTTTGTTGTGGGAGAGACAGTGGCACATGCCTTTAATCCTAGCACCCAGGAGGCAGAGGCAGGTGGCTCTCTGAGATGGAGGCCAGCTATGCTCTACACAGCAAGTTCTAGGCCAGCTGGGGCTACCGGGAGACCTTGTCTCAGAAAGGCCAAAAGAGAGCCTTGGGAAGCAAAGGATGTACTAGGCTTAGAGCTCACAGTCCACCATCAAGGGAAACCAAGGCAAGAGCTCAGGGCTTGAACCTGGAGGCAGCAGCTAGAGCACAGACCACAGTGCAAAGCTGCTTACTGGCTTGCTCCTCTGGACTGTGCTGTCGGCTTTCTTATATAACCCAGGGCCACCTGCCACCTCTTCCTAGGTGTTTCAAGTTCACAACACAAACTAACCAGGACAGTGGCCTCACTTAGTCTTGATAGGTAATCAAGTTAGTATTGGTTTTCCAGAACGAATCTGGAATGGTTCCTTCCCTGTCTGTTTTACGGAATACTTGGAGGGCATCGATATTTGTTCTTTAAACATCAGTGTCTCAATACGGTTGTGAGCTTTCCTGTGTTCAGAGATTCTTATTAAGGCTTCAGGACTGTTTCTTATTATTGATCTTTTTGGTGTTTCGTAAGGTCAGAGGGAGAGCTGACGAAGCACATCCTCAAATGGGGCTCTCTACCGGACCAGGAGACCCGAAGGTGGTTTAGGCAGATACTACGTGCAGTACAGTACTGCCACAGCAACAGCATCGTGCACAGAGATATAAAGGACAACAACATCCTGGTCGATGGCAGGGGAAATGCCAAGTTGAGTGATTTCAGCTTGGCAGTTAAACTCCAACCCGGGGAGAAGATACTAGATTTCTGTGGCACCCTGCCCTACTGTGCCCCCGAACTCTTTGGCACAGAGCCATACGATGGCTATCCAACAGACGTCTGGAGCCTGGGAGTGCTCCTCTTCGTTATGGTCTCCGGATACTTACCATTCGGAGGGTCTTCTGATGGAGAATTGATGCTGCAGGTCCAGGCTGCTGACGTCACCATTCCCAGTCACGTCTCCCTTGATGTTTCCGATGTCATTGCTGAACTGCTGGCCGTCCACCCTGGCAGAAGGCCCACTGTCGACCAAATCCTGGTGCACCCGATGGTCAGGGATGGTGAGGCACGTTCACCACCAAGCTGCAGACAGACGCTGGAAGGCCCATCCGGCCCAAGCATTGTCAGGGCCATGAAGATTATGGGGTATGAACCTGAGAAAATCAGCCAGTCTCTCAGATACCAGAAATACGACCAGGTCATGGCAACATACCTGATTCTGCAGCACCAGGCACCCTGGGGAGACTGGCATGACCATCGGGGAAAGAAAGTTCTGGCAGGCAGGTGTTTCTGTCACCCTGGCAGATCCTCACGCATTCCCTGTGCCCGAAAGAAAGCTTCTGAGCCTGTTTTTCCCAACTTTGACTCCCCACCTGAGCCCCAGGAGGAGGAGGAGGATGAAAAGATCTCCAAACAGGGTGCTAGAAGGCATAGCATGCCTGCCATCCTGCGCTGCCAACACAAGAGGACCCACCCCCAACACCTATACGATCAGGATTCTGATGGTTCCTTTCTCAGCAGCAGTCCAGACATCAGTGACAACTATTCCAACATGGCGTCCTATGGCAGCCTGGCTATAGACCAGGTGGAGGACGAGGTGGAGGAGGAGGAGGTGGAGGAGGTGGAAGAGGTGCCGGAGGAGGAGGAAGTGGAGGAGGTGGAGGAGGTGGAAGAGGTGGAGGAGGAGGGGGTGGTGGTGGTGGAGGAGGATGTGGAGCTACAGGAGGAGGAGGAGGTGGAGGAGGTGGAGGTGGACAAGGTGGAGAAGGTGGACAAGGTGGAGGAGGTGGACAAGGTGGAGGAGGAGGAGGATGTGGAGGTAGAGGAGGAGGAGGAGGTAGAGGAGGAGGTGGTGGAGGTGGAGGAGTTGGAGGAGGAGGAGGTAGAAGAGGTGGAGGAGGAGGGAGGTGGTGGTGGTGGAGGTGGAGGGGGAGGAGGACGTGGAGCTAGAGGAGGAGGAGGTGGAGGTAGAGGAGGAAGT